TTTTTTTTTTTTTTTTTTTTCTCTCTCCGTGCTGAAGACGTACGTCCAGCCGAATCTCAGGGTAGGGGAGTTGATGTTTGCAAGTATGAGACGCAGCTCATATATATATATATATATATATATATATATATATATAGAGCTGACGCCTCCAGTAAATGCTATTAGTGCACATGAAAGTTGCCAATGTATTGTGCCAATATGAATTAGCTGTGTCATACTGTATCTCTTATCTGTATTGGAGGAGCTTTTGCAGAGGGTGCAGAAGGCAGGAGCAGCACAAGAGTGGCAGCATCCCCTCCCTTCATCCTCTGAGACGTTTGTTTAGTTTTTAAATGTGTCTTTTTTTTTTTCTTTTTTTTTTCGTTTGTTGGTTTTTATTTTTGGGGAAGGCCCCATGCTAAGGAGAAAAATCTTTACTCAGTTTAGGGGCTCCAGTTTGCTACAGTGCACAGTTGATGATGGGTAATCCCGGGTACATATTTTTTTAAAAACCAAAAATGAAAAAAATCGCATTTTAACGTCATTTTTATGAAGTTTGACATAAAAATCTTTAAAAAATGCTTAAAAAATCTAAATGGTTTAAAAAAAAAAAAAAAAAAAAAGAAGAAAATCTATGATATGTTAAAGCTCTGCACTTCTAGCTGAAACGTATCCGGGTCGCCAGCCTCCACCGCCGCCATCCTGAAGGGGTGGACGCAGCGGCCGGGGCGCCGTTTTGTGGATGCTGTATTTATCTCGTGTTTGTGTTTGTGTCCCGCTCAAAGCGGGGCCCCCGCTGAACTGTACATTTCCACACATACACACGCACACACACTCGCACACAGACGGCTTCAGGCCTCTGCCTCGCTCTCTTTTCCTCTGCAGCTGCAGGAAGAGAGAGGCACACTTCAAGAGGTACAGTCTTAAGAAAATAACAAACAAACAAAAAAAAAATCTCTTAAAAATGATTTGAAATTAAGAAACGAGAGAAAAGGCTACCTTTCAGGACTTGGAGTCCTGCAGCACACAAGCAAAAATCACTATTGCCTGTTTCTGTAACTGCCTTGATCCAAGCTCCCTGCGTCCCGTACTGACCGGAGGAACCCGACAGCGACGGGGCTTTTCCCATGCTGCACCAGCACCGAGAGCGTCTCCTCTCCACAGCTCTCTAGATACCACAACTAATGTATTCACGTTCATGTACACAGTGGCGGTTTTCGATGTGGGCAGCTGCCCAGGGCGGCGATAGAAACAGGGCGTCTGAGGACCGGATGAAGTCGTCTAAATCCATCAGTTGTCTCCTTAGCAGGTTTTCTGTTGCTCTTTCCGTTGCGTGTTGAGCGGGCGTTCCCTGTTGGTGCTGAGGACAGGCAGGACTCGGATCATTTCCTGGGAGGCAACGGAAGAAGGGGGCAAGACCATACATGCAAGAACCGCAACTGTATGCATACATACACACACACATATATATATATATAAATATATATTCCAACATGTGGTATCACCTCTTCAAACTTCTTGAATCATAAACTCTGAGACTTTTGTTGTCCCCCTGAAAGGTCCTGGTTTATTACAGCCGATAAAGAGCAATATGTATTTTCCCTGCAAATAAGGGATGGAAAGGAAAGGGTTTGGGGTCGAGCGGAAGCTGATACTTGATTGATTGAAAGCGACGTTAGATATGCACGTTCTGGTTTTGGAGGCGTACCACAGCACGCTTTGTGTGTGTGTGCGTGATTTGCGTACGTTTTTTTTTTTTTAAAAGCCCGACCCGAAGCACCTGCTAATTTACATATTTTACCCTGTTGTTAAATCGCAGACATATCAAAACCACAAAAAAAAGTTATTTAACGAAATACTTGAATCATGGAACGCCAATAACAATGTGAAGTCAGTAATTTTTTTTTTTTTTTTTTTTTTTTTCCAGCTGACAGGTACATATATGGGCTTTTTTTTTTGTAGAGAATATCAGATATGTATTGCATTAGGTTACAGATTTGGAAAAGAAAGAAAACTCATCTCAGATGTTTGTATGAATGTGTGCTCTAAAAACTGTGTACTCGGCACATGGCCTGCTGTTATGTTCAACTCTGTTATGTTTTGTGTTTTGCTTTTTTGTTTTCTTTGGTCTAATTCATTCTGATTATCTTCTAATGTTGCACTGAGTGTCTTCTACCCCTTGCTCGGCTAATCGTAGGTAAACGCGTCTAAGGGCAAAGGGGCGATGGCGACAATTCACGTGTACATGTTTACTCAAGGACTTTTATTTTTTATCTTTTTTGCTCCTCCCCCGTTCTATCTGTAAAAAAAAAAATTATCTACCTTATAGTGGCTTTTATTGTGAGATAATCCCATTTGAGGATTATCATGGAGTATTGCACCATTTCGTTTCAGTTACGTAAAGAAAATGTAGCAAAAAACACAAAAAGGAAAATGTTCAAAAAAAAAATTATAAAACCTTTTAAAAAAAAAATGGAGATTTTAAAAAAAAAAGGAAGAAGGAAACAAGCTAACTGTGGCCATAGATAGCTGTAGAAGGACTAGTAATCCAGAAGTGAACTTGTCGGAGAAATGTAAAGGGATAAAAGCATGGGAGGCGAGTTTGTTGCGACTCATTTCAGAGGTGCCTATCTTTTCTTTGTTTTTGCAAAAAGCCACCTGTCGTTTACAAGCATGTCATTTTGTCTGAAGCTCAAGAAAACAGGACTCTACAACAGGAATGTTCTTCAAAAGGACGAAGCTAATCTTCCATCAAATACGGACATGAAAATCTTGCCGAACGAAGGTTTGACGCTACTTCAAAACTCTGGGATCGATCAGTGTTTGTGTCGTATTTTAAAAAAAAAGAAAAAAAAAGAAAATGGTTTTAAGTTCTCTTTTTTTTTTTGGTGACTATCTCTCTGTACATGTATTGAGTTGTGATTTGATGTTTCCTGTAATACCGCGACACAGTTCGCTCACTTTCTTGCACACTTGTTAGAAAAAAAAAAACAAACAAAAAAAGACGTGGATTTTTTTTGTCTCAGGAAGGCCAGGGTTCCAGATCCAAAACCTCATCAGTTCTGCGTTTTAATGGTAGTGTGGTGAAAAACTAAAGGAACTGACAACTATTCTACTCCAAGCAATCACTAAAGTTTTATTAGTTCAAACCACAAAAGAAAAACAAAAAAGTTTTTTAGAAATTAAATGTTTACCAAATAAGACTGAGAATCTTTTTTTTTTTTTTTTTTTGCAAAAAGTGGAGCGCTTTACATGTGAAATCCAAGTAGAAATTGCTTTACATTGGAACAATGATCCGTTTTTTTGTTTTTGTTTTTTTTAAATTACAAAATAGGTTTTTCTTTTTCTTTCATGTCCTTTTATTTTCCATCCGGTTTTTTTTTTTTTTGGGAGCATGGTGCAAGCCATTTTTTCCCCTCCTTTTTCTTTTAATAATCTCTCCTGTCTGTTGTAGAGCATGTTTGTTCCTGTGACTAAGATGACGTTTCCTCCCATGTAACAGGTGGTTTTTAAGTGGAGGGATGAAGCTGGTTGTAAAAGGATTCTGATCTATGCACAAGTGGGAGGGACTAGTCCAATCACCTGCAGATGTACTGCAGGTGATGGTCAACCAAGACTCTGGGCTTCGGGGTTTGATGTTTTGGGGTTATTGTTTTTTTGTTTTGTTTTTGTTTTTCTCGTGTCTTTCATCTCCGCCCCCACCCCAAAAAACCCCGTCTTTATCTAATGTTTAAGCAAAACGTTACATTGCGTCGTCATGCTGTGTAATCCTTAACCAATGAGCGCTTATCTTTCTGCTAAAGCACTGTGGGTTGTACTGAAAAAAGCCCATGACTTTTAAGGCTGTCTGTTTTTTAGGGACAGGTGGGAGGGTCAGGGTGGGATGTGGGGACTTTGCCTTTGCCTTTCTCTTCACTTTGGGGGAAAAAAACAAAAACAAAAACAAACAAAAAAAAACATTACGGAAAAATGTCTGTACATTTAATGCAAAGTTGTGGCTTTTAATGTTCTTTTTTTCTCCTCATAGAATGTGATTGTTGAAAACATGCATTGGAAAAAAAACAATGTTTCCATGAATTATGGAGCTTCTTTCAGACTATATTAATAAAATACACATTTTCTCGTCTGTTACTCGTTGTCTTGTCCTTTTCTTTAAAAAAAAAAAAAAGTGTATATCACAGTGGTGTAGAATTTTTTTTGACCATTTTTAGGTTTGTTCTGTTCTTATTGGTAAATGTCTTCAGTCAGTGGTGTTCCACATTTTCTGTCATGTGGACCAAATTTTATATATATATATTTTTAGGAACTGTATCTGTAATTTGTTTATTTAAAAAAAGGTACAAAATATTTTTGTCAAATTTCAGCAATAGCAGGATTTGGGTCACCCTTTCTTTAAAATCACTTGTCATATATAACTACTTTTAATAAATAATTAAGCAGATTCAGAGATTTTCTTGCACCAGTCAACTTTTGAGTTAAAGTCACTCCGTATGTGATGTGGTCATATTTGCTTTAAACAAATACTTTGTGTTGTACTTAACATTTTTTGTTTAGGTAAGATTTGTTTTTACTGGTAATAAAATTGCAATTCCAAGATTATTGCAATTTTATAGGAGTTGTGCGTAACTGAACTGAACTAAACACGGCCCGGCGGACACCCCCCCCCCCCCCCCCCTCAGGTCACCAAACGTTTCTAGGTGTGGAGGTGTGACGACAAATGAAAATGAAATCCCACAAGTTTGAACTTTTTGTTTCAACACTTTTAATGAAATACAAGAAAAAAAAACTATATGAAGGAATGACATTGAGTTGTTTCACATATACAGTCCAATAAAAAAATATTTGCCCCCCTTCCAGATTTTTGTTACCTGTAAATGTTTGACATCATCAAAGGATAAACTGACTAGATAAAAAAAAAAATATATATATATATAGTTGTCCAACAGTAATTTCATTCAATATTAAGTGGGAAAAAGTAATTATCCCCTAAATATAAAACTTGACTCGCAAACATGAAATATTTACAATAACTGGCAACGAGTCTTTTTACATCACTCTGCCAGCTATTCTTAGGAGCGATATTATAATTCGGCCACAGAAACAGCCTGTTGTGGGTCATTCCCTATCATCCCAATTAGATTCAAGAGTAGACTTTGACTAGGCCAGTCCAAAACCTTTCAAGTTTTTTGGGTATTTTTAGGCATTCAGTGCAGGACTGGCATCTTGCTGCTTAACCCAAACAGGATCAGCTAAAGGAGTTGCTGTTCTGTCATAAGATCAGAAACTGAATTTATTCTTCCATCAACTGCACTGGGTCATCCAGCTCCTACAGAAGAAATCATCTCCAGACTCAGACCATGCTTGTTTGAGGGTGTGATGTTTTTTTTGTTTTTTTTTAAACAGCCTTTATTTAGGAGTGGTTAGACAGGAAGCTGCGTCACGATAAGGCAAAGATCATCAGGCTGAGACTTGTACCTGTGACGTCTGCATTGAGGACCAAGGCCTCCATATGTGGGTTGTGCTTTACCACCGCGCCACCACAGCACCCTGAGTGAGTGACGTTTTTTGGGTTTATTTCCTGAAATAGTGCATTAGTTTTATTCCAAATGTTACAAGAAAAACGTTCTACTTTTGTCTCCACAGAATATTTTTCCAGATTTACCGAGGCAGTTTAGATGTTCTACGCTCTTTTGCCACCTTCTGGCTCAGTTGTCATGAGGCCCTGGAGTCGTTTCTGTAGGCTGGCCGCTGTTGTTTCACTCATTTGTGGACATTTCTCCAACGCCTTAGAAATGACTTTGTGACCTTTGCACTTTGCTTCTTGTCTGTTTTTAACATTTCTTCGCCACTGCTGTGTTTGCTTTTTGAGATCATTAGGCCTCCCTTCCTGTTGTTGGACAGGTGCTCTTTAAATGATTTCTTGATTCTAAATGTGTAGCCGTAATGAGGTCATGTGAAACTTTCCAAAATATGTGGTCGATAAGGACAAATTCACATTTTAAGAAAAAAGGGCCAATTAATTTGCATTTTGTTGTTTGATGTTCTGAAACATTCAAATGCGGCAAAAACAGAAGAAGTCTGCAAGGGGAATTGTGCTTTTTTTTTCTTCTTTGAAAGGCCACAAAAATATATCTTCTGATAATCTATAGACAGATGTGAAAGAGTTCTGCAAATTTCAGAAAGTTTTGGGTCATCCTATTCTGATCTAACATGTCATTTCTCAGAAATCCCTCCTGGGAAAGAGAGCCCCACTCGGGCTCTCATAATGGTTCCCAGGGCTGGCCCTTTTCAACGGGCAGTTTTTGTACTCGGTGGATTCGACTTCCTCCAGTCGGTGAGCGGGCAGCTTTCGGCTGGGAGACTGCACCCCGATCATCTCCTCGTAGATGGGCGCCTGAGAGCGTGACTTGGCACCCTGGCGGGTTTTACCCTGAACACCATCGAGACAAGACAAGAAAAAAAAAAAAAAGAAAAAAAAAATCAGTGAGCTGAGAAAAATCTGTAAATATGTCATCTCGATTTCCTGTGTCAAAATCAAAGTTTGTCATTCTCAGACCAGACGGCGTCTTTTGATGTTGGCCCCGAAACTCCCTTAAATCCCACAGCAAAAGTTGGGAAACATACTCTTTTTCTTTTACTTTTTTTTTTTTTTCATTTTAGTAACCCCAAGAATCACGTAATATTTCGAAACTAATGACTGCAGTTACATTTCTGTTGGTGCTAAACTTTAAGAAAAACATGCTGACAACTTGCAGCAAAACTTATGAAACCGCTGCGGTTTTTGTGGCGAGCTGGAGAGGAACTCCTCTGGCACGCTCTCGGCTTGCAGGTGCTGATTGTAGTAGTACCCCCACCCCGTTTGAGCGCGGTGTCAAAGAAGCAGAACAAAACCTACACGACCACTCACTTTCCACGCCGCCACGCATCCAACGAGGAGCAGGAGGAGGAAGAGGACGCCCACGGCTCCTGACAAGGCGTAGAGCAGCGTGGGGTAGCTGGAGCAGCCGCACCTATCGCCTGCAGAAACACACACACACACACACACACACAGAATGACGATAAATAGAAGTGATGGTTTGAGATAAACAACACGCGATAACAAAAGGAGCGCAAAAACAGCCCATCTATGACGGCCGAGAAGCAGAAACCACAGATTTCCTTCCTACTCGGGCTGCAGTTTGGATGTCTTTTCATATTTGACAGAGGCGAAAGCAGCCATTGTTGAGAGCAGGAGCATTAATGAAGATGAAAAGATTAAGAGCAAAACCGTTCATGGAAACCCGCAACAGGAACGACTTTATGAATGTTTTTCTACAACCGGATTCTAATACCTGTCAGCTGACTGAATGAAAATATAACGGAAGATTTCTATATATTTATTCTTTGTCCCCCCCCCCCAAAAAAAGAAGAAACTCTGAAAAAATTTACATCGCCTTGTAAAAGTATTCACACCCCCTGAGCTTTTGCACATTTCAGCCTTTTAGAACCACGAGGTTGAAGTTGCATTAAAACAAAATATCTATAATCTGCAAAGAGACATTTTTTCCCCATCAGTCCAGGTAAGTTAAACTCGTTTAGAGCCACAAACATTACACAACCTGATAAAAAAAAATTTTAAACAAGACTATTTATATAATTTTGCTAAACATCTGCTCAAGAAAATATTTCAATGGACCACAGTTTTATTTCTGGTTTTGGGTTTTTAAATAGCAAAAAAAATTAAGAATCTTCAGTCGAATGTTGCTATTTATGGAACTTGACGTGAAGAAAGTGAACGGTTCCTAAACTAATAAGGAAAACAGATCTAATGAATCTGAAGAACTGATACTGTCTGAAAATTCATTTCAGCTATTCCGTTTCATTATTTTAATGCAAAAATTGAAATTGCATATTGATTGTTCTTATTAAATATTATTATTCTGACACGATTCAACTTACCAATATTTACAGCCACCCCTGTGTTTAGTGATTTGCATTAAATAACTCATGAAAAACTCAGATAAACTGTTAGCTCGACTGCAGTCTCATTGTGGGCATATTTCCTGTTGAGCAAATGAGACATTATTTCCAGATATTTATAGTCATGGTCAAATGTTTTCATGAGACAGACATTGTGGTTTGAGAAGTCGTTACTTAAGTTTGTTTTTTTTTTTTGTTTTTTTTTTTTAGAATAAGTCCGGGTGTTTTTAGATTAATATGCAGGTTTTACACATGAAAGGTCACAAAGAGCCTTATTAGCTTAAAAGATGTTGTTGACAAAAATCCTTTATACTTGTTTTTTTTTTTAATTTATTTTTTTATTTTTTCATGGGACCAAATGATCCACTTCATAAGAAAACAGAAAAACAATTGGCAGCTAGTTGCCAAGACGATCTTAGAAACTTCAAACAAGTGGTTTCAACAGAAAAGACGTCAAGTTTCCTGTTATTAGTTTGTTGAAAACGTAGAAACGTTATAAGCGGTAATGAAACATGCGGTCCTGCTGTGCTTCCACATGCACACTGCTGATGAACTGGGCTCACTGAGCAAAATTTGTTCTTTACTTTTGATGTGCAAACGTCCAGATGGAGATGATAGGACCACAGTTTTACCCAAATTCAAAATTTCAACGTTTCCACAGCCAAAATCCTGTCACCAGAAATAGTGTTAGGAAGTCCTTGTCAAGAACAAATTGGAAGCATAAAGAGAGCAAGGACAACAAAACAAATTTAGTTGCTGTAGGGTTTCTGTCACATTCCTGGAAATAAAAAAAAAAAAAAAAAAATGCATATATACATGTTAATTCATGTTTGTTTTTTGGGGGTTTTTTTTTGTGATAATTCATTTTTGCTGGGGCGTTTCCTTAACCAAGGTTAAGCACGAAGCTGATGTACAATGTGTTTGTTTCCAATTTGTGTTCTTGACTTCACATATTTTCAGCCAGGCTGCACAAATAAAACAAGTGGAAGGAGCTGAGGTGAGGCAGTGGACGCATTTGAGAGCATTTGGTAAAATGAAGAGGTGTGTTAGTTGAAGCCGGAAGCGTCCTGACATGTTGAGAACGGAGCCTGCAGATATTCGGTCACGGCTCAGCCTGTGATGTCACCCACCTTGCACGGAAATAAAGAACACTTGACCCCTAAGACTGGTGCTGCTGCCGGGCCTGCCGCGCAGCAGCAGCTGGCAGCTGTAGAGGGCGCTGTCCTCAGGCTGGAGCTGCAGCAGCGTCACGTTGAAGGTGATGCCGCCCGGACCGGGCGCAGACGACAGCAGGACTCTCTCAGTGGGGAACAGGGAAGTGTGGCGCCGTTGAGAGTGGTAGGCCACCTCCACGGGGGCCCGGCCCCTTTGCCTGTTCAGAACCACACCTTCCACAGCCGAGCCTTCGCTATTTGGGGTGAAACAGGGAAGCACAGCGGAACCTCCGGTGCAGGTCTGGATCAGGTCCAGGTCCACGGAGCTTGGAGCATCTCCAGGGAGAAAAGGAAATTAAAAATGGCTGCGACATCGTGGGCGTGATCACTTAAAGAAGACGATCATACTGAGTCTAATGTCTCTCATAATGATTTATAGTGACACATTTTAGACAGGAGAGCAGACAAAAACACGGTTCAATACATTTTCGGGAAACATACTTCAGTCAAAGCTGAACATGAGGCGTTAACATTTTCAGAAAATAGTTGGAAAGTAAAGAACCCAGTGGAAATTGCGGTTCTCTTAAACCCACTTGGAAATGGTCAGTGTGGTTTAAGCATGTTTGAGTAAGACTGTGACGTTATTGTGAGGCTCCATGTCTTCTGTGGCGTAGAGATGGACATGTTGGGGCTGGTTGAATGCTAAACGTCGCTCAAGTTGAACTTTAACCTATTTGTCACAGGAACTGAATGGGAAACTTTAATGTTTTCAATTAGCAGACGTTGGTGAAAATGTGGAGTCCTCTTACTCTGCCGCTATGGTCCACTACGGTGGTGGAGGTTAGAGTTTTGCGCTTCAGCTCCACATGCAGACGTTCTGCATGTGTCCAGGTTTAAAACAATGCTGCATTCGACCAGGGAAAACTGAAATGGTCCCAGTTTGCACACCGCTCTCCAGTGAGCAGTGTTTCGATACAGAAATATAGAAACCAAGTGTCTCTTTGACACTTAGACCAAAACAAGTCCACTTTTAAGATGATTTTGGCTCTAATTAAACAAGTTAAGTGATTAGCTAACAATATGTGTCAGACAGAAACTGAAACCACCAGATTGACACTTTTTAAGCAAGAAAGAGTATTGGCTTGAGGCCAGTGGAGCAGAACATGAGTAAAGTGAGAGTTCATATTTGGTACAGTTTTAAATCATAGTTTTGTTAAATCTGATTACCTTTGTGTGAATCTACACATTTCCATTAACCTTTCACTTTGCTGCTTATATAATTGAAGAATAATGAAGAATATTTCTAGTTTCCTGTTATGTTAAGGATCAGACAGTTTGCTATTGATTACTAGATCTTTATCGTTTTTTTTTTATCATTTTACATGAGATAACCCTAAAATGATAAGAGACACAATTAAGTGACATTCAAAAGGTTCAGCTTGCTAATTGTTTCTGCAGAGGAAGAGAACACTGTCTTTATTTATGTCTTAATAATACTCATGAGTCACTCTCAGAGCTTGTATGGTCACTAATATGAGGAAATGAAATAAAAAAAAAGAAAGCTCACATCATATGTCCCTGAATATTGTTAGTTTGTTTAGATGTATATAAAACGCAGAGTTTTGTTTTAATTTCATCTATACTTTAAACAGTCACCAACAACTTAAAACCTGATACAAGCTCCTCTGTGTGCCAAAGACATTTTTGCACACTGGCACCAATATTCAACTCAGAATATATTCAAAGTTTTTTCTTCTCTTATTCAAATAAAAATGACCGAGGAGAAATGTACGTCTTGCAGTAGCAACAGCAAAAGTTCAGCTGTTTAAGTCAGGTTATCGTACTGGAAGGGGGGTTGGATATGTTTGTAATCGTTTATGAGGAAACAAAACTAAAAAAAAAAATAACAGAAAATCTCTCGGGTTTTGGTGTTTTTGTTTGGAAAAATCTCTTGTTAAAACAGATGAGGAAAATATATAAAGTGAACTATTTTATCCTGCTTAACTTAGTGTTTGACTCCATGTTGTTTTAGATTTCATGGATTAGAATAGTCTAATCATCAGACATAAAAAGTCCAGAAGCCCTTGTCCCTTCAAAGGCCTCTGTACGCCCTTGCGACTGTCCATCTGTGAGAAGAGGAAAGCCGAGTGGTCTCTCTGGAAGTTTCACTTCCTCACTACTTCCTGTCTCCAAGTCGTGTGCGAAGAAACGAGAGAGAGAAAGAAAGAAAAAAAAAAAAGAGACTCACGAGGGCTGACTTGGAGGAAGACTTCGGTGTTGCCTGGGATCTTTTCATCCTCTGCGCCAATTCTCTCCACCATGAACTCGCAGGTGTAGCGGTCTGTGTCGGCGGCCCCGAGCTGGGAGAGGGTCACATTGACGGAGAAATCGCTCGGGTCTCCGCTGACGCTCACTCGGCCTCTGAAGGACTCGTTGACGGTGGCGTCGCTCTTGGTGTACTTGAAGAGGACGTCCACGGGACGGAGCCAGCTGCGCCTCAGGTAGAGGCCGAAGGGCGGCTGGCTCCTCGGCTTCATGTCGCAGCGGACGACCGCCGACTCTCCCTCCAGCCGCTCCACGAACGAAACATCGCCGCAAAAACCTTGAGAAATCACACAAAGCGCCACAATTTAAAATCTTACTCTCTATTTGATACAAAGTATTTCACTCCTGGTTTAAAAGGGGGAAAGAAAAATGCTTTACTACAAAAACGAACTGCAGTTTTGAATCAAAAGTAGTCTTCCATGACTTTTAAAGATTTGGTTAAAACCTCCTACAAAAAAAAAAAAAAAAGTAACGCTGACAGTTTTTCCCCAGATGTGAAAATGAGTTATTTGTCTTAAGAGGGGTAATGTGATAACTTTTATCACAATATGTCTTATCTTTGGTGTGGCGGGTCTTCTACAATCTAGTAGCACAGCGCATTTAAGACAAGAAAAGCTACCTACTAGATAAAACCAATGTGTTTTTATATCTGTATTTCCTGTTCAACTGTGTCTTTTTCTGGGTCAGTGAGCCCTCAAAGAGCCCAGAGGCAGTAATAAAGTAAATGTCTTGCTCACGTCTGTCTGTTTGGGAAAGCCGGGAATCGAACCCACGACGCTAAACCCAACATCTGAATGAAATGGGAGCTAAAGCGCCTGTTTGTTTTTCCTCCAGCTTATACGTATCTGCATGCGTTTTTCTAGTGTGTGCCCCCCCCCGCCCCCCAATTACTTCCACACACTTGCCAAATTTCATAAATTTCTATATTAAATCATGTGTATTATATCTGAAGGTTTAGCGATTAATTTAAAAACATTGGATGACATTTTTTTCATTTACAAGCAAAGGTTTGTGTTTTGTTGGCGTATTACAGGAGTTACCAAAAATGCACTTACATTTTGTTATTTCATATCAAAAGAATTTTGAATCACTTTTAAAAGTCAGAAAGAAAAATGAACCCCTCAGTGTTTATAACCCCGTCCATATTCAATCCGCCGACATTATGTTTTTTCACGTTAAAAAGAAAGTTGCTTGAATGAGTAGGCTACACCTGGAACTTGAAAAGCAGAACCAAACTTACCAAAACCAGCAAGAGTGATGACCACAGTCCACAGACAAGCCAGGTGCCAGATCACAGTCATTTTCAATCCCACCGACACTAAAACCGATGCTAAAGAAAGACAGTGATGCAAACCATGACAACACAGGCTACATGCCGACGATTCAGACTGATATGGCAAAAGTTTGGGTAACTGTAAATGAAACCAAGAAGAACCCAATGTAGCTCCACCTTCTAACCTCAAGGCCTGTGCAAGAGGAAACACACACTAACACACACAATATAGCTCCTGTCAAAAGAGATATCTTAACAAGAATCTGTCTTCTCATCCGGTGACTGTCAGAAATTGGAAAGAAAACTGTTGAGGAATATCAGACATTATCAGGCCTTTCTGGTTTTTAAAGCGATTTCACTTATCTTCCCATAAATTTGTGCACGATTCTTTCAAAATTGCATCAGTTGCTTCACTTCTTCAAAAACCATTGTGTTAATTATTTGAATATTCCAGAGGAAACAATGCTGACTGACCATCTGTGAACAGGATGTTTTCAGCTGTGTTTCTGAGTGATAAGTTGCATCATCGTGCATTCGCTCCATATCTATCCAAACATGAAGACTTTTACACTCACACAAACATACAAATATGTAGAAGTACATTCTTCTCTGTTCCTTCTTGTTGAACTAGCACTTTTGTTGTTTTCTCCTGAAATCTACAATAATTTCCTTCATCTTATTACTATTGACGTCAAGATGATCCATCATCTCTGTAGGCATTTTTTTTTTTTCCTGATACATCTGATGACTGAACAGTTTTCTGACTTGTTTCTGTTGATGACGGGGCTCTGTCTTATACTGACAGGCCTCCACCTGTGTCTTCGGGAGTCTCTGGCTTAATAAATCAAGCTGAATTTTGTAGAATGCATAGGAGAACTCAAAGAACAAGATCTTCATGGTGTTGCCTGCTTTTGTCCAGATGTTGGAGGGTTTCTTGATGTGAATCTATGGTGAGATGTCCAATTCCAGGGTGCTAAGAAAACAGCAGGGGGTCCTGAAAGGTGGTCCAAAAGGAGTCTCTCCAGGATGTAATAGCGCAAAAGGTCTATTGTTGTTAATGACCAACGGATGAGTTTTATTCGGTCCCAAAACCAGGCAGGATGTCTTCCACAGCGATGGATCCTTCTCCTCTAATTTTGTCTTGAAGTTGTTTTCATAAACTACTCACTATTTCAGTGTCTCCCTTGTTTAGTAATTCCTTCAGGTCACTGGTGATCCAGGGTTGTGAGGGGAAGCATCTCACGGTTGTGGTACGGATGGTGTTGTCCGACCAGGACACACTCATTACGTTAGTAACCGCTGTGGCTGCTTAACTTGACTGACTTGCTTCCATGCAATGAGAAATAAAAAGCTTAATTATGATAAAAATCCATACATTACTTTACATTTACAGCAGTAAACACAGCGTTTTATGTGTTTACTGATCATAATGTAAGGCATTATTCTCTGAATAAACGTATCTTATTTGAAAACATGATTTCAAAAAGTTAACAAACCCCAGAGGCATGTTTGAAAGTTTTCATGCAATGTAACAGTTTCACAGTAAAAGTTTAGAAGAGCATTTCCCCTTTAAGAATGGGGACAAAGCTCAAATTCTGGTATTGGAAACGTGACTCATTTCAGATTCAGTGTTGTGCAAGTTCACTCTGAAGAACTGACTAAATTGAGTTCACAAAGGCTACAACCGAATTCACAATTTTATTCACATTTGCTGTTAATAAAGAGTCATCTAACATTTTGAACCAAATGAATTGCCTACTTTTAACATTTTGAATTAACTGCGGCAACACCCAGGTATAAATACTGCCAGGCCACTAGAATAAAGGAGTTACTTAAGCAGAAGCCGTCTGAAATGGCCTAAAAGATCTGAGAAATGAAACGTGCCGATCTAAAATTTCACAACAGGTGAGAAAGGAAAGTCACAGACCTCTATCTTCCTAGAAACGGCTACAGAGCCATTTCTAAGGACAACGAACCAATGAGGTTCATTTTCCACAAAGTATTTTAAGGATCCTTTTCCCCTTAAAATAAACTATATCAAGCATTTTATATTTAACACTACGTATGAATGCACTCATTTATGTGTGCATTTATTAGTGCTACAATCCAGTTTTTTTTTCTAATCAGTCCATACTCCCCTGAATTGACTTGTACGTCTCCCTGCTTCAGCACACCTTTACTTGATTAACATGCTTTTAGATTTGTTTTGTATTTTAAGAGTTGTCCTTCTCAGTATTTATGTAATAAAGCCCTTTGGTGTTGAGCACCAAATTTCTTTCAACACTGTAAAATCTCCGCTGGCCGCTAGGTGGTGCACTAGTAGGTATAAAAGCCAAGCATGACGGGAATCCCAGAGGATTTTCGCTCTCAGCTGCATTCCTGTAAATTAAGAATGACAAATGGCAGGAAAGCAATGCAAATATTTTCATTTATTGAGCATCATAATACTACACAGTGATGTCACATTTCATTTAAACACCACCGTTCCAAAAAGACAATTGGTCTGTACAGGACAGAATGAAATTCTATTTTAACAGACAAGATAGTTTATGCATGTAGGGAATATATACTTACAAAAAAAAAACAAACCAAAAAAAAAAAAACAAGAAAAACAGAAGAGCATTGAAGAAAATAAATGAAAAATGCCGTACTTCTGACCTCAACGCCCTCAAATATATTGATAAAACAACTATCTTCATCTAGTGGTGTCTAGAAGTAAATGCATTGATGCATTTACTTCTCATTTCCGTCAGTAGTATTGGTTGTACTGAAAGCCAATTTTCTTAAAATAAAATAAAAAACTGATTAATCTAAACACTAAAAAGTTTATTTTATCCACTATATGTCAAATTTATCCTTCAATAAAGCCATTGTCTTGCAATCCAGAAAAAGGACAAGTTATAATAATAATAAAAAAACAGGAGGCTCGTATAAGAGACTCCACAATGTACCAGGGGGAGAAATCCATTTTCTCCATTTCATTTTAGACTTTAACCTGAAGACAAAGCCTCTTGTGTTCACTGCAGTAATGTACAGTTCTCAGAGGATTGAGGGAGGATTTCTAAATGTACTTTGATGCAAGAAAACATTTGGCAACTTGGCTTGACATAAATCCTGTTACAGCAAGAGATTGTGGAATTTGCATGACTTGATTAACTAGAGCAGGGGTGTCCAAAGTCGGTCCTGGAGGGCCGGCATCCTGCATGGTTTAGTTCCCTCCCTGGTTTTACACACCTGCATCAAATGATGGCTCATCAGAAGGCCTAAGCAGAACACCGACTTGCTGAGGAGGTTGTTACAACCACTAGGGAGAGAACTACAACATGCAGGATGCCGGCCCTCCAGGGCCAACTTTGGACACCCCTGAACTAGAGCATGCAATAAAGCCACATAACTATTAACTTATGACATCACTTGAGAATTTAAGAGAAGCCGTTTTGTAGTTTCAACAAGTACCCAGCTTTTCTTCCTACTTACCGTGCCAGTTGTCATCAGAGCACAGGGCAAGCATGTACTTCCGTGTAATTCTTCATGATTTTAACACATCAAATGAAAATGTTGACTTCTTTATATTATCACAAATCACTTCGATGAAACAGAGCCTTGCGTCTAGCTGTATGGGAAAGTCTCACACTATAATCAACATCAGGTACTTACAGGATTTAACTGACCTGTCATGCCAGCTGACTGGGTTTTAAGGCTGAAAAGCTCATATGGATGGGCTAGACAAAAACAAATACAAAGCAGTAAGTGATCTGGCCAGAGGAACATGTGCACAACACTAAAATGCCTCAAAGTATTGAATTACTCAAACTGGTGTTCCCATTGCCTGTTCTCCGCTGTTTTCTGTAGAATAATGTTAACACAGGATCAAATGGCACACAGCGGGCGACTTTGAGACACTGAAAGACGCTGAAACACAAAACCGCCCAACAATAAAGACGGGCACTGTGGCAAAGATCAGTCCGGAAGATGCTTCTATAGATATGTGGTGGCATTTATTGTGGTCTCTGGGTTATCAATGCCATCTGCTGTGACAATCTTGTGAAATTTACCTTCTGTCGAAGCGACTTTTGCTGACGATATCCAAATAAGCCATCTACTGAATATATGAAGGACCACAGAACTAATGAAAATGGAATTAACATAAAAACAGCATTTTTTTTAAAAAAAATTCTAAAAATCTATGCCATGTTTTTATATTGGACTTTAACCCAGACCGACTGTATTGTTGGGTGTGTTTTGTATTGCTACCATTGTAGCAATCATGCATGCTTGAGTGCTGGTATGCAAATTCAGTTAGTAGAATAAAATCAAAATACTTTCCATTAGTTCAGGTGTTGTATTTGGAACCAAATTACCCAGCCTCCTTGGTGGGCTCCATGTCCAAATGATCTGAGTGCATTAAATCATACTTTATTTTTACAAAGCCTTCCAAAAGTATTCACGCTACTTGAACTTTTCCACATTACCACATATTTTAGTGTATTTTAACTGAAATATTAGGCAATAAGGGCCCAAGTCCAGTCCTCAAGGCCTACTTCCAGATGAATCACTGCTTCTAAACAGCTGAATGAAATCAAATCTCCAACACAGTCAAGTGTGTTGGAGGAGAAAGGCAGCTAAAAGTTCAAGGAAGGTAGAACTGGAGGACTGGATAAGAGCCCTTGTGCAAAAAACCAACACAAAGTAGCACATATTTATAGAGAAAAGGGGATAGGATCTATGGTCTTCTCAATTATCTTTAGTCTTCTTTACTGTGATCATCGAAATACAGTTTAATTCAAATTTTAAAAATACTCTTGATCCCAAAGGGAAATTAAATGCAACTCATTAATCCAAAATTCTTCAATTGTAGATGCTATTGTATTAGTACAACCAATCACTTTCAAAAGTTAATCTAAAGTGTAACTGGATGACGCTTCTGCGTAATTCAATCTCCGTAAAAATCCAGCTATTCACTGAAAGCCTCAGAGGTTTGTTAACGAACGTTATCAACTGAGATAACGTCGGACTGTTTATGAAACATCCTAAGTTTAGAACATCTCACAGATCTCTGTGCAATCCATCATCTGAGATGCTTTCCTCAGAGGCCGACAGGTCGGGCAAGCGGAAAATCATTAATCAGAGAAGCAGCCAAGAGGCACAGGGTAACTCAGGAGGAGCTGCAGCGATTCAAAGCTCTGGTGGGAATCATCTCTCAAGAGAATTACTAGTTGTTCACTCCTGGAAACTGACTTTTCTAAAAGAAGCAAGATGAAAGGCATCTTCAAAAGAAAGCTTTGGGGAGACTGCACAGCAAACATGAACAAAGTGCTGTGGTCACATGGGGTTAAAAAAAAAAGTAACTTTTTGATCCACATGCAAAAAGGTGCAAATAAGTGACCAGTTTCTGTAGTTGGTGGACAAAAGTCACACACACACTCATATCTATGGGCAATTTAGAGTAATCAGTTACCCGAACAGTCGTGTTTGAACACAGTGCCTCATCAGAAACCAGAAATCCATGGGATAAGTTACAAACTCCA